AAATCTGGGAATGATTTGATAAGTGTCAAAGACATTATATTTTTAAGAGTAAATACCATTTTGGGTCCCTAACAAAAAACACGGTACCCACTTTAGTCCCTTACAAAAAAAAATTAGTCTCGAGGCCCCTGACAAATTCAAAGTGGACCCATATTAGTCCTTTTGAGGGACTAATATGGGTCTTTTTTGAATTTGTGAGGGACCACGATTTCAACTAAATGGGTCCACGTTGAATTTGTCAGGGACCTCGAGACTAATTTTTTTTTGTATGGGACTAAAATGGGTACCGTGTTTTTTGTTAGGGACCAAAAAGGGTATTTACTCTATTTTTAATATCAAATTTAGTTTAAATAATGATTAATATGATTAAGAATATAATGTTAATTAATAAATCCAAAAGATATCAAGATCTCTGCCTCCTAAGTCATTTCCGGCTGCCTCCTAGCCATTCTCTGTCGTGTCCCAGAATTCCTCTCTAAAGCCCTAATTGCGTCTCTTTTAAAGAAATAAAATTGGGCTTTTAATTTGGACCAGGTTCGCGGAACAAGAATTAATTCTGATTAATTTTTTTATTTTTCTTGATCTTTATCCTTTGCAATTGCCTTTATCCATTAGTATTTGTAATTAATTACTTTAAACCTGAAAATTTTTGGTTTCTTTTCATCTTTTAATTCTGTTGTTATGATTATGCAAAGCTAAATTTATTTAAGTAGTTAGGGCGAGACGGAACCAATGGGTTCTTAAACGTTGTTTGCCTTTCTTATAATTTATATTCATGGTTTAAAGTTATGCAATCAATTTGTTCTTTATGATTAGCTTTATTTATGAATTGATCACTCGTAGATAAATATATGAATCGTGCATGACAATAGGGATGTTGGTGTATTGATTCTGATTGGTTAATTGCTAGAGTTTGTATGATCTAAGGATAGACTTATGAATTCTATAACGTATGATTCTTGCGTTAATTCTTGCTTTATGAAAAAGTACTAAGAGATTAGGCTTTCGAGTGAAGTAAAGGATTGGATTACCAAGGAATTGAGATCTAATCAAATATAGAAGAAATTGTTAATAACTTGATCTTGAATGTTAATTATAAAATGAGTAGACTCGTTAGAAAAACATTGGGAAGTTGAGTCCTAAGAATGGGTAGACTCGTTAGGAAAATATTGGGGAAGTTGAGTCCTAGCTACGTCTTTTAGTAAAAGTTAAAACCAATTTTCTCGCATTATTAATTCTTGCATTAATTTCTTAAATATTGAAAATCAAAAATAAGTTGTTTAAAAATTCTGTTTTGTTTTTACAATTAATTCTCTCAACAAAATTAATTAGGATAGATCCATGTTTAATTGCGTAGATAAATTAGAGATTGGTAATCAGTCCTCGTGGGATCGACAATCTTATTTTACCACTTTATTACTTGTACTGATGTCTTGCCGAAGTTGCAACATTGATTACACTGTGTTCTTCATAGGAATTAAGGAGATAATTTACATATGTACTCTCTCCTAGTTAAAATCAAGTTTTTACCTAAAATGAAAGGGGGATTAAAAACTTATACAACATAAAATCATAATAAAAAAATCTTAAAAAAAAAAGTACTTGGAATATTGATAAAATTGTTTTGATGAAAAAAAATTATAAAAGCATAATTTTAAAACAAGTTTTAAACTACCATGCTCAACCCTGGTATTGTGGCTTCAAAGTGCAACAACCTGTCATGCATGATCAACTTTTATCAATAGTACTAGGGACCAATGTTGAAGTCAGCATTTTACCAAAAAAAGGAAAAAAAATAGTTGAAGTCAGCAAGCATAATTATTCATAGAGATCAAGAACTCGACAAGGAAATAATAAGAAGACTAGTCAGGTACTATCCAAAACATGCATGCAAGCATTTCCTCAAACAGTTTGTGTATTAAAATGCAATGTTTGTGGAGTCAATAATTTGGAAGGGAAAATATAAAATAAAAGAACACAACCAATTTTTATCAAGAGAAGGGACTGGATTTCCTACCTTCCAGGGCATGCGCGCTTACTGGTGTGTAAAACAAGGGTTGGTTAGCTTGGGTAAATAAGGATAAGTTGAGTTAGAACATTTGATTGCTTCCTGCCTCAATCTAACTCAATTTTTATTTATAATTGTACTGGTTAATAGGCCCGTCGAACCTAGCAGGATCATAAGAGTGGCAAAAATCTTTCTATTAAGTTTTTAACATATGTATAGAAACATATGTATAGAATTTGATCTCAAAACTACTGATTAAGATAGAATAACTCCTTACCAGTTGATTCTCAAACTTAATGGTAATTTTTTTTTATTTTTTTTCTTTTCCTACCACGTTATTTTTGTTATACAATTTTTAATGCGCAAACTCATAAATTAAGATATATTTAATTAGTTAGTCGTATTAAAGTATAACATGTCTTATTCTAGGTTATGAATTGTTTATTTTTATTAATAATCCTTTTGTAATATTTATTTATTTGAAAGCGAGGCTGTTACAATCATGATCTTTCATTCGGAAAAGCACGTTGTTATCTCTCTTCTTTATATGTAGTTCTTTTATATATTTTAAGTTGCGTCCTTGAAACTCAAAATTCGGTGTCTGCTGTGCCAATAATAACACTATTAGCTTTAAGCTGGTGTTTGGTTGGGAGTTTTTTAGGGGATATCTATCTTTCTCAAGTATGACTTTTAGAAACATTATGTTTGTTTCAACGTTTTTCACCAAAAATCCATCTATCCAATTTGTCTGGATTTATGAGAAACATAGATATCCGCACTGTTTAGAAACCCAATTTGAAGGTGGGATTTTTTCGGAAAATCGATTATCTGGCTTTTAATGCACTGTTGATTTCATAAAGTTACCTAATTTTTCCAGTAAATTTTTTCCCCAACAAACAACTTTTTTTTACATTTTTCTACCTATCTCACTTTATCTATCTTTCCAATCATTTCTCTATCTATCTCATTTCCCTACTATTCCAAAAACATTTCCTCAACCAAACGCCCCCTAAAGGTGTTTGGTACGAGTATTTTATTTAGAATGATGGGAAAGTGGGGTGGGGAATGTTTTTTGACCATATTTGATATTAGGAATCATAAAAAATTCCCAACAAAAAAATTTCTCCATCAATCCAGATTTGAACTAAACATTAGAGGGGTGTGTTTGGTTGGGGGGAAATGTTGAGATAGATGAGTAAGTAAGAAGTGGAAATATCCTTACACCGTGTTTGGTTGAGACAACTTCTATATTTATCAACCTAAATCACTATCTTACCAAACCAAGTTGCATATCTATCTTCATGGATTTAGCCGGCCAAAGTTTCCCTTTCATCGTGTGGTATTATTGAAAAGCAATCAATCTACTGAGAGCGACTTTTAACCAAAAGACTTGGATACCCTCTCTTATCTCTGTTCGATCTTCTTAGTCTAACACATTCCTTTCTGAACCCACCTTAATAGCAAGAGGTGAACTTGTCTTCCTTGAAGAAGAACTGCATGGCTGCTGCAGGCATTTAAAATGGTACATAAAGTATGATAAAATTGTGAAAGTGCTTAATCTCGAACTTGTGAAAGTGCAAAGTAAACTTGAGCGGAGAAGGCTGGAAGCTTTGGAGAACTTTCGAGTTAAGATGACGTATATAGAACAAATTGCACGAGGAGCGAGAAACAAGGCATGAAAAACCCGACAGAATGAAGAGCTGAAAGCAAATGAGAAAGCAAAGGAAATTCGAACAACAGGCAAGCTACCAGGGAATTTTTTCTGCTTCTGAGATCACCAATTATGTAACATCACTGGGTTTGATATCCAAATATTTGTTTCGTGGTTAAATCTATAACTCTGAAGTCTCCATTTCTAGGAAAACAAGACTTCTTCCGACAAAAATTGGAAAAATAAAAACTCTAAACTTAAACACTACTTCTTGTGTAAATTAGTTCCAGTTTTTCTTGCTAAAGGTTTCTATTCTGTTTTGCTACACATTACCACCACAGTTCGAGCGTCAACTTTATTTTAAGAGAACAACAAATTAATCATATTATGGAACTTCAGAGGTTAAGTGCTTAATCAAGCTACTGTTCCCTTCATTTCTCACTTCAGGGTAAAGTAGCATGCCACCGTCAAAAATATTTACAAACAGGGTTATTTTCGTAAAGTTATCTAATTTTCCCATCTATATTTACCTATAACCAAACATAGATTTCATAAAAGTTACCTAATTTTTTCAGTAAAATTTTTCTCAACCAAACAACTTTTTTTTTTATATTTTCCTACCAATCTCAGTTTATCTCACTTTCCAATCATTTCCCTATCTATTACATTTCTCTAGTATTCAAAAAATTTCTCCTCAACCAAACGCCCCCTAGAAAAAAAGAATTCCCCCCAACCTAAGATATTATTTTTTTCCATATACTTGGATTCTGATTTTAACAATTTGAGAACAAAATGACCTCTCGTATTTGATGAGAGAGATACATTATTAAAAAATTATGGGTAATTTAGTAATTTTTGTTGAGATTCCTTTCAATATTCTACCATCAACCAAACATACCATCAGTAAAATTAACTTAATATTTTTGATAAAATTTTACCATACCAATCACTTTTTCGTTACTTTTACGGAAAAAAAAAAAATTTCACCATATTCTGATCATAAATCTTTTTTTCTGGTAAAAAAAAAAATCTCCCGTACAAATGCCCCTAAAAACAAACTAAACTCACACAAATGAGAGATGATGACAAATGAACAATAACATTTATATATCATTTTCATTGCATTCTTACGCTTAATTTTTTTTTAAATTATTAAAATGAAAATTATATATTCCAACACACTCTGTTCCTCGAATTGTTTTTTTTTTTTTTTCCTTCTTTTTCAAACAAGCAAAGTGTAAAACCTGTGTTAATGAATACTAAACCTCTCGCTTCATGACATTAAACATACTAATGGAGATCACCTAAAAAAGGACACAAACCTAACTCAATTAAATGAGATCAGAGGATGATAAGCATCAAACTTAATACCATTAGTGCAATTGAGTTTGGTTGCTTTGTTGCCACAGCAAACGAATTGGAACCAGGTTCTAACGTTCTACCAGGACTAGGCTCAATTTCAGGTGCTAACATTCTACCTGGGCTAGGTGCAGGTGCAGGTACGGTTGCAAGTTGCCCCACATCAAGTGCAATATCAAATTTGCAAGTAGCATTTGGGGGTGATGGGTCTTTCTCGGTGATGATTGATAAACCGTTGAATTTGCATCCATCTTTGTTTTGATTTGTGACTTGGTAGAATGCATTGAATGCATATGATGCTTTTGTCCTATTATCCATCCACTCACAAGCTGACCCATTAGTCACACTAGTGCACCCCGTTGATGCCCCACATGCAATCTTCCAATTTTCGTTCATCTTGGGGTCATCAAGTCTCGCTTTTGGAGAAAGCACACACCATTGTTTCTTCATGTACTTAACCCCTTTTGAAGGTACTAGTTTTGTGCCATTACCCAAGTCCACTTGGTACTTAATGCTTCCATCATAGTTGAAAATACCCCAGTGTGGTTCAAAGTTGCCAGGTAGAATACTCTTTGCATCTTCATCTACAAGTCCAAACATGTACACATCTGGCATGTTTTGAGGCCTCTTGGGGGGTCCTTTATTACTATTTATGCGATCAATTAAGCCTTGATAGAACCTTTGAGCATTTGCATTGTTTGCGTTGGAATCACCATTTGTTGGCCACCCAACTTCTCCAACTATGATAGGCATTGATCCAACCCCATGTTTTTCTAAGGCAGCTGAAAGGGTGTCAAGATTCCCATCAAAGGCATTGGTGTAAGTGATGTTTCCATCAACTAGACCAGGGAAAGTGCCATTGAAGAAAGCAAACTCCTTGGGGAACATGGAATCGTAGTAGAGGCTGAGGAATGGGTAAATGTTAATGGCAATGGGAGCATTGTGTGTATTGAGAAACTTGAGTATTTCAACAACTTCTTTTGTAACGTTGGCACGAAAGTCTCCTCCAGATGGAAGGTCATTGTCAGTCTCATAGATATCTGCATTTATAGGGATTGTCACTTGCACTTTTTTCCCTAAGCCAGCTTTGTCTAGGGAAGCTTTGATGTTTTTAAGTGCTGGAAGAACTTTGTGTATGTATTTGTCCTTATAGTCCTTGAGGAAAGCTTCATTGCTCACAGCAACGTACCTATATGAGTTCCAAAATGTGCCAGAGTAATTGTTATTCTTTTTTATATAAACAAAAAACGATACTTCTACACAATAAAAAGATGTGAAAGATAAATATATAATAAATTCCAAACTAATTCCTATTAAACCCGGAATAGAAAGGGTGGAGTGGAGGTAGTCCTTGTACATAATCTTACCTTTATATAATTATAAAAAAATTGTTTGAATCCATAACCTTTCAATAAAAAAATAATAATTTTACCACTTCTTCAGACTTCCTCTTTATAAATATATAATAAATTCAAGTGTAGAATAAAATTTATGCATCTTTCATGGTTATTATATGATGGATACGCAAAATTTTAAAAATTAAGATGGGGACTTGATCATGGAAGTGTGCTTTTGTCAAAAAAAAAAAAAAAAGGCAAGTACTTAAATTAATAATTGTATATTATATTTCTTTAACAAAATATAATATACTTTATGAAATTTGTTTAATTCCATGTCCTTTAACATCTATGGTTACATCAGATTCATATGATATATATGAGAGAAAAAGTATTGGTAACCTTATATCGACTCCATTCTTGATGTATGCTGACACATTTTGAGCCACCCAATCGTCACTAGCTTTGATGTTGTTTCCAAGGGATTGTAAATAACCATTGTCTATTCCAACCATTACCTGGATACCAGAATTTGCAAGAGCCTTTAGCGCCTCAGCATCAGCATCAAAAAGCTTTACCTTATCGAATCCATTGTCCTTCAGAAGCTGCACAACTATTTCTCCCTGAAGAGGCTGTGTTGCAATTCTTCCCCAGTTGCATGCAAAGCCCACCACACCTGGCCAGAGCACGCAAAGTGCCACAGCCACCAAAATGCACGAAAATAAGTGTCTGTGCCTCATGTTTTTCTCTTCCCGAAATTTCTAAGAACTGCGTTTATGAGTTTTGGTAAGTTGGTAATCATCCCATGTGGTGCAATATTATTGATATATATATAAACAGATTCAACAAAAAACGAAGAACTCAACTTGATCCAGAGTTTCCAATGTGCTTAAAAAACGAAAGAATAATTTTCTAACTTTAGACGCATAGATTTATTTATGTACTCTAAGGGGTGACTTTAGGACTCTTATTAGAGAAGCATAAAATTAACCACTTTTATCGGATTATGTGCGGTGCTCCTGGTTTTAAGAAGATTACAGGCAATGAAGTTCCTATATTTCATTTTACAATGAGTTTAAACAATCTTTATAATTAGTATAGCTGCCATATTTAGATATTATACATATGGGACCAGAATTGGGCCACGATTAATGAATGTTATTTGACTAGTGGTCTCTAAATTCCTCCTGTAGGAGCAACAGGAGTATGCTAGACCATTGTAGTTTGAATGTAAAGAATCATCATTGTTTTACAATTACCTCTTATTAGACAGATATGATGATGCTCCACACTCTTCAGTCCTTTGGGTCACAATACGAACTCACGAACTAATCTCTATTGCGTCACAGCACGAACAGATCTTTACTGTGGTGAACCTTCCAAACTATCTCTCGATGGGAAATGGATAGTGTGTGGCACTTTTTAGATCTGAGTTTATTTCTTTTGTTCAAAAAAAAAACTAAGAGGCTGATGACTTGAGTGGTAGTATTTATAAGAGTTTCAAGAAATCCTAGCCCTAAGCTCAGGCTCTTCTCATACTCTTAGCGCGTTAGGGTTTTAGTAAAAGAGCACAAACCCAACACCTTTTTTTTTTTTTTATATAACAAAACCCAACACCTTTACCAATAGGAATTTATGTTTATTGACAAAGTGTGATCTTTTGGACCATTGTGACAAATTTTAGACTAAATTGTTAATTGTATTTATTAATTTAATTTTATTATGATTTATAAATATATTATTAGTAATTAAGTGCTGGAAAGAAAAGAAACTTATTTATTTAAAGAAAAAAGTGGTAAATGACTTAGTGGAGTGTATTTGATTGAGATTTCAATGAATTTTTTTTAACAGAAAAATCCATGGTAATCAATTAGGATTTTAAAGGATTGAAAAAAGTTACCTGGTATTCGATTAAGATTTTAAAAGATTATTTTAGAGTCCGTCCAATTTCATTGGTATTCAATCAGGATTTAAAAAAAAACAAAACAATCTCGTGGTATTCAAAAATATGATATTTTAATGGATTCTCTATTGGTGTGGATTTCGTGAGACTTTTTAGTGAGAAATATAAATATGATACCTCTCTCACAATCTCACCCTAACCCCAAGGATTTCTTGAGATTTTTTTATTGCAGTGTATTCTTATTCCTTTGGCGGGTTGATCCGCTCGAAACCGGATTTCGTCATAAAAGCTTCGTCAAAACTCAAAAATAACAGATTTTGAGTGATTTTCATCGCAAAACAAACCAGAAACAACAAATCAACAAGATTATAACATAATCCATCTAAAAATCGGCAGATTTTTCAGCAATTTTTTAGAGCTTTTGGAAGTTTAAAAAATAATTTTTCAAGCTATGAGATGTGATTTTTCTTAGCACAAAAATGTATGATATTTATATTAAAAACAACATAAAATAGTGAGAAAACAATAGGGGAACTAAAACCCTCAAACCAATTTTCGATTTACATAAATGAAACAATATTAATTTACAGAACGATTGAATCTTTCATAATATGAACCCTATATTTCGTAACAATACATTCATGAACGAAATTCCTTCGCTATAAGAATTGATTTCAAATAATTTTTGTATCAATAGATAACTAAAAACTTATTTTTCGAAAGCCCTAAAGCAATTTAAGGTTTCAATGTATCAATTGAAAATAATTTGAGAAATTTTCTAAACTTTCATGTAATAAAACCAAGAAATTCATATTCGAAATTTTCTTATAATACTCAATGAAAATATGCATATGATATATGGTTAGAAAACTCTCATCACGTAGAACAAAAACCCCAAGGTTTCCAAGATCAATTGCAAAAAATTTCAAACAAAATTTATCATGAACTTAGGTTCTATATGCAAATTTAAAATTATTTTAATAAATAAAAAATATTGGGTCTTATAATCATATATGCATAGCTCTGATACCAAATGAAGAAGATAATTATTAACCACTTGGTAATACCCAAGAGCATAAACGAGAAAATACTAATGCGTGAAGAACTTGTATGCTTTAGATATATGGAGAGCTGTTGCTTAGTAATTATGAATGTTTGTTAAAATTTATATTATGTTTTACTGGTTGAGAAAATTATATTAGGTTTTAATTTTTTTATTAATATCATTGCATTTCTTTGTTATTTTTTTATTAACTCTTGTAATTTTGAATATTAATTTTTTAAAACTTTATAAATCCATATTGTTCTTTCAAATCTTATAAATTCTATTAAAATCCTTTAAAATCCAATCTTAAAATCTTGATTGTAAAAAAAGTCTTTTAAAAAAGTCTTCAAAATCTCTCAAATTCTAAATAGTCTTTTAAAATCTATGAGATTTTTTATCACAAAAAAGTCTTTTAAAATCTTAATCCAATATACCTCCAAATGGAATTACTTTTTTCACTTAAATCCAAACTCAACCTAAGGAAATACGTTTTCTCCATCCCTTAGAGTACGTTGGATGTTTTTCTATTTTTTTAGGAGTTTTTTTTAAAATAAAATTATTTTTCATTTTGTGTATGTGTTGAATGCGATTATAAAAAAAGAAGTAAAAAAAGAATATTAAAAGAATATTTTAATAAAAGAGGATGTATCCCATAATACTTGAAAATGTGCTCTTGGAAGCCTCACAAAAGAAATTTTACATTTATTATTAGTAATTGATTTACTTATATTCAACGATTTCATATAATTAAAAGAATTAAAATTATTAAATAAAAATAGGACCAAATGTAGAGATAGAGAATATAAGAAACTTTTGTAACAAACCTACATGTATATATGTACAAGTGAATTATTTCATGTTTTATTTAATATTATTATATCATGTGATATAGTTTTAATTATTTATAGACAAATCAATAACGATGATAATTTTGTCATTTCTTATCTCAATATTTTTTCTATTTTATATCTTATGGAGATTAATACATCCGTAAATAATTATGGAAAATAAAGTTCTTATGTAATAGGAGAAGTTTTTTTTTTTTCTGCAACGAATTAAGACTATGTATTACAGGTAGTATATAATTATAATTTTAAAAGATGTTTTTTTTTCTCTCCTCATATGTTGTGGCTGACATGGCGGAGAGAAAAGTATCAACTTTAATATTATAACTATGTATTATCGGTAATATATAGTGTTAATTGGTTGCAATTCTTCTCCTATAACATATAAGTTGGGGACCATAATTAATATCGGGACCATAATTAATATCGGGACATTGACCGTACTGCCACATTTACAGAAACGAAACACCTGAATGCCACGCACTTAGAATTTATTTTCAAACTGCCATGACATCAAAGTCGCTACATGATATAGTGACTATAAACAGAACACATGACGTATTTTCAATGATCAACAAAGTTAGAAAAGTTGTCCAACCAAAGTTGCTACAGTTAGAAAAGTTGTCCAACCAAAGTTGCTACACTGTATAGCGACTTTGGATTGGTTTCTTGACATGTGGAGTATTTGTGTGGTCTAACTTGCCACAGTCCCCCCATATCAAAGTCGCTACATGATATAGTGACTATGAATAGAACACATGACGTATTTTCAATGATCAACAAAGTTAGAAAAGTTGTCCAACCAAAGTTGCTACAGTTAGAAAAGTTGTCCAACCAAAGTTGCTACACTGTATAGCGACTTTGGATTGGTTTCTTGACATGTGGAGTATTTGTGTGGTCTAACTTGCCACGGTCCCCCCTTCTCAAATCGATACATCAGGTAGCAACTTTGTTTTTTATTTTTCTTACCGAAGTAGCTACATAGTGTAGCTATTTTGATTTGATTTTAATAAAATATTAAAATATTTCTATTAGTGTAGGAATTAAATCATAGGTTAGTTGATATGTATTATATTTAAAATTAAAAATATAATGGAATTTTAACATTAGTTTGAATATTATTTTTGCATATATTAAAATAATATAGGTCAACTAATCTATGATTTCATCCCTACACTAATAAAAATATTTTATTTTTAGGATAAATGATATTTTAATATTTTATTTAAAATAAAATAAAAAAACCAAAAATAACTATATTATGTAGCTACTTTGGTTAGAAAAAATAAAACAATGAAATCACTACATGGTGTAATGACTTCGAGAAAAAAAAAACTCAAAGTGTGTAACGACTTTGGTTGAACATGCATTGTTGTCAAAAATTAGTGTAAAAACATAAAAACTTACGTTTTTACTAGAGTGGTGCGTGGTAACACGCAAGTAAAAATGATCCTTGGTAAAAACACTGTGTAAAAACGTAAAAACAGTAAAAACTTACGTTTTTACCGTTTCGACCGTTTTTACTTAAAACTAAATTAAAAAAAATAAAGATTTACAAAAAAAGAAATTAAAAAAACCCAATTTTTGTTTTGCCCAGATCTTATGCACAATATCTTGATATCTTTTTATTTGGATATATGTCTTTTTATAATTATGTCTTATAAAGCTACAATTCTATTTTAAGTTATACTATGAGAATCGTTTTGTGTTTTTGGATCATTGTGTGCATTGAAATAAGTGGAATTATATCCTAATGAACGAAGATTCAAAATCTGCAGAGTATATGAAGTAGATAGAACAGATTGGTTATCCATTACTTGTTAGTTATCACTATTTATAATTTTGATACTTGGTTATCAAAAATAATTTTTCGTTTTAGATAGATGAGTGACTCAACACACATGTTTATTATATGATACTTTTTTATATGCATATATATATATATATATGTATATATATAATTTTGTATCTTGAGTATAAAGTAAAAACTTTAAATTTCATATCATTTTTACATTTTATATTTCTATCACTCTTTCCATTTCTATGTAAAAACTCGAATTTGACTATATTACATGCTAATCACGGAAATTGTGCCATATATGTTATTTATAGTCACTATATCATGTACCAATTTTAATGTTATGGCAATTTGAAAAAAAAAATCTAGGTGCGTGGCATTAAGGTATTTTATATTTGTATCACATGTTAAGCGTCATTGAGACGGCACTTTGGCTCCTTATTTCATTTAAAAAAAAGCAAGAACAAAGCAAGTTTGAAGTGTCAAAGACTCAAAGCATTGGCTAAGTGGTTGCAACGTGTCAGAGAAAAAGACAATATTAAAAGAAAGAAAAAAATAAAAAATGAAAGCACAAAAAACACATGTTCCTTAAAAGCAATGATGGTTGGTCACTACAAGCTACAGGGAATCAAGCCAGCTTTCTCAGAGCGTTGAAATTCCGAGACTTGCATAAAATTACAACACCATTCAACCATTCTCTTCTCAAGTTCTGATCCATTTATTGGGTGCCCCAAACAATGGATGGTGTCACTGTCAAGGCCGAGGTTGCAGAAGAAGAACACAAAGACCAGGTTTTGGGTCTAGAATATTCTCCTCCTGCTTTGGAGGATCATGGTGATAGTGCTGATGGAGTTACTACCAACAAGTAGGTCTTTTGACAACTGATATGTCTCTCTTTTCACAATACACATTCTTTTGTTTCCATTTACTATTTTTGTTTCATGAACAATTACCCACTTGCTTTGTCATATCAATTTTGGGTAAAATTTCTTATTTTTGGGGATTGCAAACCTTGGATGAACAATTAACTATGGGTTTTTTTTTTAATTATCCGCCTTAAAAAGTTTCTATTTTTTGTGAGATGAGGACCCGTATGCTCTTGGGTTCAGTATGGGCAATTAATTAATGAGAACAAAAAGGTATATGTGCCTGAAAAAGGATTTTTTTTTTTTTTTCTTGAATTATGCTTGTAACTCTTAGTTAACGAGACCCATATATATATATATATATATATATATATATTTGTGTATTTTTATGTATTTATTAATTTTTTATTTATTTATTTATTTATTTATATTTTTTTATTTTTTATTTTTTTTAACCGTTTTGTATCTTTCACGTGGGTTCATCTACCACCGACCCCAATTAATTTGGGATAAATGTGTTGTTGATGTTGATGTTGTTGATGCTTGTAACTCTTAGTTTTGTGAATTGAAAACGTTCTAATGAATTGAGGCAACTTTTTAATAAGAGCCATCTTCGGGATTAAGTCTACTATGTAACCTAAGAAAGCTATGAGATGGATATGAGCCTTAGAGGAGTTTGTTTTGGGTAATGATTTTTTTCCTTACGCTCCGGGAAATGCAGGAATGTTAACCAAAGTTTTTGGTTTGCAAAAAATATTCTGGAGGAAACAACAACCTAGGTGGGATCTGCTACATAGATATATTAACGCCATTTGGACTCCATCAGAAAACTAAGGTCTTATTTAATGGTTTCACTATCTGCTAAATTTTTTTTGACCCACTTTTCTTATGGGAGCCTTTATTGATCTTCCTGTCACATGATCATACCACCGTCCAATGTCAAGTCTTGTCTTCTTCTCCTCAATAGGAGCTATTCATTCCTAATCTTATCTTTCCTTGTATATGGTTTTCATTTACCTTAACGTTCTCATCTCCACTACACTTACTGTTATTAATTTTTATGCTCTTGATGGAACCTTTCTGCCCACCATTCACACCATAGAGTATCATTGTTCTTATAACTGTCTTATAGAATTTTCCTTTGAGTTTGGTAGTCACTTTTTTATCACAAACTATACCTGAAACATTTTTTCATTTCATCCACCCCGCTTGAATCCTATTGTTGACAGCTGAATTTCCCAATTACTTTGTAAGATAGATCCAAAATACCTAACCTGTAGAACTTTTAGTGTTATGATCATCCATGTATTCCTATTCCTACTTAACCAAAAACCCTTAGATTCCTAAGCTTCTCTCCCCATTTTTCTTTCTCACAACTCATCAACCTGGACTATATCGTTGCAATAAAGGAATCAAGCTACAATCTACTACCTCTTGGATGTCATGTGTTCTGTAAGAACATACAATACTAAGGTAAAATGGTGTGTACTCAAAGTCAAGCCTTGATCCAAACCTATAATGGGAAAATATTTTGTTACTTTTCCAGAAGTTCAATACTAGTTGTTGCCCCATTATACATATCTTATATAGCTTGAATATAATGCGATATGAACACCTTTCTTCTCTAGAACTTTCCATAAGACTTCTTGTGGCACACTATCATAGGCTTTTTCTAGATCCGTGAAGACCATATATAAGTTTTCTTGTCTTTAGCTGCATCCTTCCATCAAACCCTGCAAAAGGTATATATCCTCCATGGTCCATCTTCCTCCAAATTGGTTCTGTTATTTGCAAGTATTTGCTCTAATCTTCTATCAACTACTCTTTCCCGCTGTAAAATTTATGAACACCTATGGTGGAGTAGCAGTGAAGTTGTGTAGCAGTAATAGTGGTATGATGATGGTGGGGGTGACGATGTAAGGGAAAGTGGGGGTGTAGCGGTAAGGATGGAGGGGGAAATGAGGAAAGATTGGCAATGATGGCATTTTTAATTCCTCCGTCTATATTGCCAGTGTTTTTTTTTTTTTTTTAACTTTTCTTTTCGTTTCTTTTTGTTGCTGTTGTTGGAGGGTGAGCCTTGGAGCAACGGGAAGGTTGTTCCTTGTGACCGCATGGTCATGGGTTCAAGTCTGGAAAATAGTCTCTTTGTAAAATTGGAAGGGTAAGTCTAGGAGGGTTTGCCCTTTGTCCTTTTTGTTGTTGTTGTTGACAAAATATGGGAATTTTGCTTTCTTATGAATGATAGATTTGTGGGATATTTTTTTTCTAATGATGAACTGAACATGGAAATTACATGGTATTCTAAAGTGTCCTAAATAATCCTGGAAACATTCCCCGGATTCTTAAAAACATGAACCATACCCAATGTCTCCCTTATTTCAAAGGAGGAGATGAGGTTGGGGCTATACTATAGTGCACTAGGGACTCATTTTGAAATCAATGCCTGTTTTTGCTTTATACTAAAAAAGCTTTTGTGAATTTATTTTCTCCCTTGGATAAAGGATGGAGCCATTTGGGAGAGAGAATTCTCTCTCAAATGAAATTAAATGCAGAATTTTTCTGAGTTCTGAACCTTTGACTTAACACATTTTTATTTTACCAACTTTTTAAAAAATCCAAGGGTTTCTGCTGGACAAATGATACGTAACCTTCCCTGTCAAATTGAATAAAAAGGAATAATATAGTATAAACCCATAATCTTGATTCAGCAAATAAATGGGAACACCGACCAAAATGCCACTGTTCACCAAGTTTTTTACCTAAATGCCACGTGAACAGTGTTATTTCCCAATCTGTCACGGGGGCAAGTTCGCTATCCGGTGTAGCGAACTCGGTTTGCTGACGTGTCACATTTCTAGTGGATAACAAGTACCAAGTTAAAAAAAAAAAAAAATTATGGAGTTCGCTACATTGGGTAGCGAACTTGGTTAAAGGTGTCCACTATAAACGTGACACGTCAGCAAACCGAGTTCGCTACAGCGGGCAGCGAACTTGCCCGCGTGGCAGATTGGGAAATAACACTGTTCGCGTGGTATTTAGGTAAAAAACTTGGTGAACAGTGGCATTTTGGTCACTGTTCCAAATAAATGACACAAAAAACTTCAATTGTTTTAAGTAACAAAAGCATTGAAAGCAATTGGGATTTAACCTCTGTTATAAGATAAATCTAAATATGTGTGCCTCAGCTTATCTCCCTGTTCTTTGTTGGTATATGAAATCAATGGTGGTCAGATATAGTAATGTTTTTCACGGCCAGCATAATGTACCCCAGTTGTTTGGATAAACTTTAACAAAAGAACAACTTTCAATGCATAAATTGATGAAATGCATGTGTATTTAAGCTCAAGAGAGAAAAAAATTTCTGATGATAATCAATTGTAATATCCGATGTCCTTATATTTGTTTGGGTAGGATTGGGAAGCTTCAACATGTATCTACCTTGTATTTTTTCTAGAAGCCATGTATTAAAACCTATTGATGGGTGGGGGAAAAAGGTAGGCTACTGTGAGTATTAAGACTCACCGGGTATCAAACCCAATATCAAGTGCTTCCCAGCTACTTGGGTTCAAGGCAGTTGGCTGGTGGATCACATTTAAGTTCAATTTGATTGTTATTACTTTATGGTTATGGTTTTGGCTTTTCAAAGCAATTAGTCTCAATAGGCATTTTTTATGCAACGTTATTTATGGGTTTCCACTATTGCCAAGGATTTTGCTAGAGCTAGTTAGGGAATTGAAAATTGATAAAGGGAATCATACTGACTTCATTCCAGTATTTTGATGTGTTTTGAAGGGACAATTCACTTGAAAATCAATTCTTGACACATCTCGTAATACTACAAAGAGCTTATGGCTCTTCAAAATTTAGAAAATATAGAAATCTATTAAATATAAAGCATTGATAATTCTAGAAAGTCCAAGTTATAATTTCCACCAATCTCATGCTTACAGATGCTTTTACGAGTGTATATTGTGTATAGTTTTTTATTTTTATTATTTATTATTTACTATTATTATTTTCTCTTTTAGGTCAGTGCCAGTATCTGGACTGAATGCAGTGATTCTTAGTACAAGTCAGCTTACCATCTTCTATAATGGGAGTGTTTGTGTCTATGATGGAATCCCTGCAGAAAAGGTAGCGACTTGCTGCATTTTGATGTGATAAGTGAATCTTGCAGTCTGTTGTGCCTTGGATCCAGCCCTCTATTTTACATGTTATGATACAATCCAAATCATACATGTACTTTCTCTTATTTACTAACAGGTGCATGAAATAATACTTATGGCTGCTGCTGCTGCCAAGTCTACTGAAATGAAGAAGATTGGGACACAATCTTCCCTCATTTCACCCGTTCCCACTAGGCCTTCTTCTCCAAATGGAACCACCAATAATATTGCTTCACCGCAGGCACCCTGCTTTCCTGCAGAGAAGAGTTCCATTTGCAGGCTGCAAGGTGGTAAATTTCCTATTATTGTGCTAGATTTAGATGATAATCTTCAAAACAATTTTGTCTTCTTTATCATTTACTATTTAGTAACTATGTTGTCTGTTATTTTAATGTAACAAAAATTTAAATCTCTTGTGGATTTTGCTCGATATGTCTCTTCAGAATTTCCAATAGCACGCAGACATTCACTTCAAAGGTTTCTTGAGAAGCGGCGAGACAGGTACTATTCAGTTTAGAGTTTCCAATTTTGTGTAGAGCTGGCAAAATGGGCCGAGCCCGCCGGGCCGGCCCGCCCCGCCCGCCAAACGGGGCGGGGCGGGCTGAGTTTTCTAAACTCGCTGCCCGCCAAGCCCGCCAGGGCTGATTTTTTTTATTTTTTTTTTAATTTTTAGTGTAAAATGTGACGGGTTTGGCGGGCAGCCCGCCCCGCCCGCCCAAACGGGGCGGGGCGGGCAGAGATATCTAGCCCACCTTCAATGGCGGGGCGGGGCGGGCAGCCCGCTTTGCCACCTCTAATTTTGTGTATGATTGTTATAGACCAGTTTTCTTATTGAATTCATTTATGTCTTGTTTAAGGTTGGGGAGCAAAGCTCCTTATCCTTCCTCATCAACTACAAAAGTGGCTGACAACATAGAGAACAACTTCTGTGGTGACAATGCACCAGATTTGATTTCCTTGAAACGATCCGAGGAGGAATTTCAGCCAACTGTCTCTGCCTCTTGAGTGTAGCTGGTGTTGGTTCTATTTTATGTGGTGTGATTGTGTTGAAGATCATGGGCATTCATGTAGAAGCACAGGAACTAGTGTAATTGTATGATTATGTTCAGGAGTCTGGTAACTCTGTATTTTTATAACTATTGAACCCGAAATGGTTGCATATCTCTAGTCACGTCTAGGAAGTGTGCTTTGTGCTTAAATCACCCGATTTTAAACTGTTTTTCCTGTATCTGACTATGTTTGTGGACAACTGATTATCCATTGTGTTGATGTTCCAGTATTTACTTTTATAACACCTTTGAGCTTTTTCCTTCCTATTTTTTGCTTGTAAAAAAGAACAATAATTTATAGGCAACCCTTGATGGACTCATTGCCAGTATGCTTGAAAGAGGCTTGAGTATTTTCAATGTTAAACATATTTTCAATTTTCTTGTAAATGTGCACACATCCAAGCATGTCAGATGTCCTTATGAGATTATTTATTCCATATTTACAACATGGCTCTTGATATGACCTGGTAAACATATAAATAAAATTGAGTTGAAGTTGTCTGCTGCTGACAAGAACTTAGACTATCCAAAAGGCTTTTAAGTTTGCCAAATTGGCCTGTTTATGTAAATATTATTATTATTATTATATATTTAAAGATTTTGGGCTATTGGACTATATACAGGTTCAAGTTGGTTAAACTATTTAAAAGTAGATGCGGTTGGGGTGGCAAATTGGATTTGGGTTATGTTTGAATCAACATGAATTCCATATAAATATGTATATCCTCAATATGAAACACGAATTGTTATCGTGTTAAAACTCTTGACACTAATATGATTGGTTTATTATATGAGTTAATACTACATGATACTAATAATTCGTCAATGTATTTATGAATAAAAATTACTGAAGTAACCTCAAATTAAATAAATAAAAGTGGGGTGAAGGTAAATACGTAATTATATAACTGTTTAATTTAAACGGGTCAATTGCAGATTGATACAAACATGACTCGATCATGAATACCAAATGACACAATTTTATGTTTAAGACTTCAAGCTTTGTGTTTAAAAAATAAATAAGACCTTTTAAGGTACGGTCTAGCCTGAGTTAATTACTTTCCATTCCTTATTTTGCGGCGACAAGTCCAAATTCCTCCATGTATTATTCCCTATTTCCCATTTCTCCTTGTCCTTTCGATAAGAACCCTGTTAGTTTTCTCAGGACACACCTCCCTTGAAAACAAAATTACAGTTAAAGTTTATGTCATATTAATTTATCTTATATTAATCATCAGTGCTGCAAACGGGGTTGAATATGACTCCGACTATTGTGTCAAAATTATTGGAAGTACACAATTTTACTGTGATCTGGAAAGGAAAAGTTTTCAGCTGTGCCATTTTGATGATTATTCCTTTGGCAGCTACAATGTTTTCTTTCATGCTGGATGTGAAGTCACATGTTCTTCTAACACTACTAATGATAAGATTTGCATACAATATAACCACAACGTCATTGGATCATAACAAAGTCACTGTAAAAGAGGAAATGTCATTAAAAGAATTGTTAAATCCTTAGGTTACAAATTTAAACATGAAATGCAAAGAGGAAAGAGACTATTCATTTTAGAACTCCAGGCCATGTTCACGAGCTGCATCAGCAAGTACTTGAACACGGCCATGATATGGGTATCCACCTCTGTCAAAGGCCACCTTTCTGATACCTTTCTCCAGACAGGACTTTGCAATGATCTCACCCATCCTCTTTGCTACTTCCTGAAGCCAAAAAGTTTGAAAGGATCAGATCCAAGGTTCAGAAAATGGAAACATAAGAAAAAAAACACAGCAGATACAGCAAGAAATCTTTTTAGCAAGGGAGACTGAGGCATCACAACCATAGAAACAAATGTCTTTTACATCATACTCAACTAGTTCAAAGATTTAATAATGAAAGGAAATTTGACTATTACAACTGCTCTGGTGCAAACACCAAGTGGGTTTTGAAGATTATTTGCTTAATTTAATTTGTTGGTAGGCAGAAGAGTATTTATTTGATGGAACCCTGTTGTAAAAATCCAGAATTTGGTGGCCTAGCCACTTTGATTTGAGTCATTTTGTATCTTTCTTTCAGTATCTATTGATATATGAGCAATGCTAGCAACCTATTGTTTGACACTCTTTCTAATGGGTCAATTTCATGTGGGCTCCACTAAAAAAGAGAGTAGGCCCAATTTTTTAGTGAAACTCCCATAAAACTTCAATATTAATAAAGTGTGTGTCAGATAGTGTGTGTTGATAACATCTTTCATAGACATATTTGAGGAAAAACAGGAAATATTGAAAGTATTTGGAACCATGATGATCGGTTAAAAATGTAATGCATTTATAATATATTAGTTATCATCATTGAAAGTGGAGATGAACTTCAGGATGTAAATGGTTTCTTGCTTCTGTAAGTCTATAGAGTTTAGAGTGTTTTAAATCAAATGAATACACAACAATTCCCTTTATATTGGCATTGAGAAAGCACACCAACATCAGAGGAAATCATTGCATGTTAAGTATGCATCTATTGCCAAAAAACTCAGTATCCACTAATTGTGAGGTAGGCAATAGAGCCTTCAACTGCAACAAATGAAGCTGACTTACAATGATTACTATGCGAATACAGGTACATAGATACTCAAGGAACCCAAAAGGTTCTTCCTTCTACATTGTTTAATTGCTACAATGTGAAGTTTGGAAATTACATCCAATAAAAATATTTTAGCTACAGGTATTGAGTTTATTGTAAAAAGAGAGAGAAAGAAGATGACAATAACAATGAAGGGTGTCTAATGACAACATGCAGTAGTAACAGATATTTCTTTGATATAAGTGCATGGCCGTGCATGCCTCTGGGCCATGCCATCCTAACCTAAGGGTGAGGCAGAGAACAATATCCATCTTTGCAAGGTACGTATAGTTTCCTCTTTGGTATATTTAGTTCTCCACTGATTACTAATTTCTTTTCCCAGGATCAATGTTTAATTTTATGCGTTGTTAAGGAAACATTATGACTTCCAATCAGGAAACGGGAAATTTTCTTATCATTGAGGAAAAGAGGCAAATTATTTTTCAGTATTATACACAACACTGAGTCCAATCTGGCATAAATCAAATTATAATCAGAGCATTTTAGGAACTTACAATTGTAGGGCCAGAGGTGTAGTTGAACTCTTCAGCAACTGTCTTCTGCATTGTTGAAACTGAAGCAAGTGTGTGCATGTTGGAGTCATCTATCACCTGGACGGAGAGATGCTTGTTGGATCGGAAGACAGACAATCTTGGTCTTTCGGGTGTCCCTTCAACCTGATAAAACAAAATTATTCCAGAATAGATATACATTGGACTCTTCATGACAGCAGATTTCCATTTAACAGAAATTGTTTTCCCAAGGCATGGAGATAATTATACAAACAATTCTTATGCACTTCCATATTCTCAATAAATATAAGTATTATAGCAAGAAAAGCAATAGCAAGAAGAAAAGATGAAAGGTGAAATGAAAGAGGAAACTATCATAACGTTCATCTTTGTGATACTAAAAATTGAAGTAGCCTACATGGTTGCTCCTCTATCTTCCTTAGTTCCATTCTTTTATTTCATTTTTTTCTAAAATCATGCAAGAGTTACATAGAAACTTATCAACAGATGTCCACAATATTATCCTCATTCCCAATGACTCAGGTAATCCCGCCCAAGGGTAGCTTAACATGAACTTCCTCTCAATGAAAAGAAGGATAACAAAGCATGGTGTGCTATATATCATATAAGGCCATCATGACAATGTGTAAAAATTAATTGATCACTGTGAATTATGTAACCAGAGAAGCAAAACAGAAGCCACAACCTAAACATAAGATATGCAGTTTATTGGACATAAAACTGGTATACAACATAAATTCATAATGATGGTAGAGAGTGCAAGGATTGACTTCGCCAAGGGACATTATAACGACATGCCAAAACAACACAATCAACAAAAGAAACAATGGATAATTGGAAAACAGCAAAACCAGTATTCTGACTAATACATAATTACCAAAGTAAATATAATAAAGCAGGGGAACCTCATTCAATACACACTAAAATAACAAGCGAAGCCATCATCAATCTGCAAGTTCCATCAACAACTAGTACATGCCAAAATTTACAAACAAGTAATGCAAGTAAAGACCCAACAATGAATAAAAATTAGAAAAGGCATAGTTAACCTTTGACAAGACAAAAAGAACTCAAATTTGGCATACTCAAGTGGTGGGTAATTTAAGGACAATGTGAAGAAAGAAAAAAGAGAGATACCCATTATGGTGGGGTTCTGTAGCTACTCGAATTCGTAGAAAAGAATAGATTTTGAACGCAAAGGAAGCAATAAAAGTGAAAGAAAAGTAAATGAAAGACCTTCTTCCTGATACGCTTGTGGCGGGCAACCCTGTCTTCCGTTGAGGTCCTGGTTTGGGCTTCAACCACAAAAGATAACGAGAACGAGGGCTTGGGATTTGGCTTTGAAATTGTGAACAAGGAAGAGGAAGAGGGTAACGCAATAGAATGAAGGAAGGAGAGCGAAGAAGAAAGCATTGTAGTGTGTAATCTGATCACTGCCTTACACGTTACCAGTTTCAAGGTTCAACCTATGCACTACTCACCCTCACCTTATCCTTCTAGTATGATTCTGTTCTATTTTTCAGACATGTACTTCAAATATATGCTTTTATTAGTTCTTTATTTATTTCTGAAGAATTTTTTTTTTATTAATGATCGTCGCACAACAAGAAAATTTTAAATTTAATTTGTATTTATTATTACTATAAAAAATTGTATACTGTTATTTAATAATATATTGTTATTTCATTTAATAAATTTAATAATATAAAAAATTGGCAAATTTATCAAATCATATGATTAGATGATATAATATATCCTTTTCACATTAGCACCCGCAACACTTTGTGTACTCATTGTTTAGCATGAAGTTTTGTGTGCATTTATAATCTAATGGCAAGTCTTTTAGCAATTAAAAGGGTGTGTATGATAGCTTACCAAAAAAAAAAAGGGTGTGTATGATATAATTTTTTATTTTTATTTTTATTCCTGGAAACATAAACGAATAGAAATAACATTTGATAAAATCAATTTATTTTTTTTATTCACGACATAAACCGATTTAATTTTTGTGATGAGAAATGAAAAAAAAAAATTGATCCTCTATCCATGCGCGCGCACACACATATATATATATATATACATATTATTTTATGGGTATAAGTTATAATTTTAATTTTAATAGTTATTTTTTTTGTATTTAATGATTCTAATTTATTTGTTAAATAAGTTATTAGATATAAGTTAATCAAAAATTAAGAAAAAATATAAGATTTTTTATTTTTATGTTCGTGTATATATATATATATATATATATATATATATATATATATATATATATATATATATACTGTAGAAATAATTTATTACACTCGTATAAAAATGAGCTCAGTAATCTTTTCTCAATCTTCTCTTCATAATAAAATCTATTCTCCCTATATATATTGTTTTAAGCATTCACATCACATGTCTAACAATGAAGAAAACTAATTCAAATATGTCGACACATCCAGGTTCAGGACTTAAGAAATTAATATTCAGGAAATATACTGTAGGAAACCCAATGTGTAGTGAATCACCAACTCACCTCCAGCCCGAGGAAGACACTAATCGTTGGCCTAAATGAATGCCTATGCAGCCCAATTGTTTTTGAGGACTATATGTCTGGTTAAGTAGGAAATAAACCCAGTTCAACTTTAGCCTGATTTTAGTTCCTTGTTAATCTGGATTTGTGTTAATTGCTTTACTAAGATTATTCTAGGGATTATGAAGTACGATATTCAGTAATGGAAAAATCACAGAAAAAAATTGCACGTCTCTCTCTTGCCTTCATTTTCCCTCTTCCCTCCTTTTCCAACTAAACTCTACATATACATTTTATATGTCAAAAAGTTATACTCAGGCATTTTACATTGTTGACGGTAATAATCTCTTCTATTATCTTCAAGTTCCACTGGCAGTTTTGTTTACATAGTAAAATATACATGTTAAGGAACAAGGTTGTTGACACTCCTACATATTTATTTGTATTTTTTATTAATGATTTTTAAGTATAACGAATTAAGTTACTCTCAATAAAATATTGATAAATAAGCAAAAATATTATTAATGAAGGTTTGAATTTTTTAAAAATCACAATCAAATGTAATTACTGATCAATGTTAATAAACATTGTGTATTGTGAGTGCAAATTATGACTACTCTATAGATGTCATTTTGGTCTAGCAATGAATTTAGTATTGGGCTGCTGGCTAGCAAGTAATAGCGATGCACCAGGGCTGACCAGTGCAAATTTAATAATATTTTCTGCTTGAAGAATGAAGAGATGCTGAATTGATGATTCAATTGGAGAAAGTGTCCAATTTTCTTTTTGTCACAATCTGAAGCAACTTCATCGCTAATTTCAATATGGGCTGACACCCAACTTGTGAAGTTATTTTTTTTTTTTTCATGTTGGTTTATATATATATGGGATTTATATTTTTACAGCTGATGTACGTGTAGCAGTCAAATACTTGTCATATATATACATGAAAGTATTAAATGTGGAAAATCATAACCATACAAAAGGAGAAAACATTTAATATGATATATATATATATATATATATATATATATATATATATATATATATATTGGTAGGGAATTTAGACACACACACACTAGGGGTCACGGGTCAATCAGGGGGTCATGGGGTCACTTTGCTGACCCAATTTTGTACATTAAAAAATTATAAATATATATTCTATTTGAAAAATTTAAAAAATCAAACCACCAATCATCAAAGATTCAATATATACTTAACATAATTCAACCAATTACATCCACAAGTTAATATTACACAAGCTAATGAAAGTATCAAACTATCAAAATATAAAACACATATCCCAATTGAGTTAATAAAAAGTTATATCATCAAACTCAGACCCTCATTGTCTTTCTCACGCACCTACGGTGCGACAAATCAATAATGGAGAGAAAAGAACCAGCAAGGCGGAGGAGAGGGAGAGAGAAGATCGAAGATGATAGGAGAAATCACCACCACAACAACAAAGATCATCGGAGAGAAAATCAGAAGAGAAAAATAATGATTTAGATCTAATTCTAGATCGTTAGTAGCAATTTTTTGTTTTTGTTTTATTTTTATTTTTTTTACACATCAAACAAACGTCTTTTCCCTGTGTAAATTTTTTTAAAAAAAAAGATGCAATAACCCCCTCTTACTCGAGAGTTATGGGTTCAACCAAGGAATTTTGAGGGTCAAAGGGGTCAACGTGCATGTGAGGTCTAATCTCAATCCTCAGAGAGAGGGGGTCAATGACCTGGCGAAGTCAACCTGGAGTGGAGCAGAGTGGTTGCCAAATAGGTATGCTCCAGATTCAGCATTCCATGGAAACAGTGAGTGTAGCGCTCCTGGTTGTGGGATTTTAGAGAGAGAGTAAAAAAAAAGGAGAATAGAAAAAGCAATTGAAAGCAGGGATTTTTGGCCAATCAAAAAATATCACCCAAATTTGTGTTTTCTATTCCTCCAAACTCAAGTGAATTGATCAGCACCGTCTCTTCCCAAGCCCAAGATGTGACCCAGTCCGTCCATCAACAAATGCATATATATATATATATATATATATATATATATATATATATATTCGGGTCAATCGGTCCGATCAGTGACCCACCGGTTCAACCAGTGACCCAGTAACTCAATATCTCAGCTGGATTGATGTCCGGTCTAAGTTTAATAAAACTAGTAGTAGCTTGAGCAAATCTTCCCAATAGAGTTTTTTTTTTGGTATACTCTAATAGAATTTTAGGTTTCTGTAATATTATTTTTACACAAATTTTATATATATTTTTTTTATAAAAATGAGAGAGAGAGAAAAACAAAAGAATTTTAATTTCTCTCTCTTTATCTTAGAAAATAAAAGAAAAATGTAGAAAATCAAGTGTAAGATTTTTGTTCCTTTCTCAGCCTTTCATAAAACCTTGTTTAACTCGCTACGGTCTGTCGTGTCAAGCACTTTTTGGCAAGGTATATGGATCCCAATATTGTACATAACTTAGGTATGCTCAACATGTACTGCAACTAACTCATTTGTTTAGTGCAAATCTCGAGTTCATGCAGAAATTTCTCCTCATTTAGAGTGCAAACGAATAATGCGCACGCATTTGTTATTATTTCTTTTGCTTGTATCATAATTGACCAAGCTAATGAGGTTTCCTCCGTTCAAATTTGTTTGGCGCACTTGAAAACATAAAACAATAATTGAAAAGTGTATACTCTAAGGATTGGTATTTCTCGTATTATACGAGATAATTTTATATTCTATATATAAAAGAATATGTGATTTATATTTTTTTTTCTTTCTTATTTTCACATGAATTCACGTAACTTTGACATAAAATTATTTCTTATAATATGAGAAATAGTAAAAGAAATTATTTCCTATAATAATGTAAAGCGGGATTCCATAGAATTAGGAATGTAAATGGGTTAGGCCGGCCTATAGGAACCTACGACCTAGCTTATATTAGGCCAGACTTGGCCTATTACAAATAGTAAAATATAATAGATATAGGCTTTTAAATAAACCTATTTAGAAAACAGGACATAAACCTATAGGCCGACATATATCATATTATTTATTTAAAAATAAATAAATAAAATTATTATTTCAATAATTTTGAATAATAAATTCATATTATTTTGAGAAAAGTGTGTATCATTTTAAATGACACAAAATTGTGTCATTTTAAGTGAGAGAAAGAGATAAATCATGGAAGAGTGAGTAGGGGGGGAAGTTTTAAAGATATGGGTCTCACTTCTTTGTAAGAAGGATGTAAGATGTGTCATTTAAAATACCACACTTTTTTCCCTATTATTTTAGTTATTCTTTTACTTGTTGAATGTTTAACAGGCTAACAGGCTTAGGTCAAAGTTTTTTTTTTTAAATATATGTTAGGTTAGACTTGTAATTTGAGGCATACACAGGCCAGGCTAGACCCAATATTTTTTACACAAACTTAACATATTTAAGTCAAAGCCTAACCTAACCTAACCTAACCTAACCTATTTACATCCCTACGTATAATCCTATCTTTCTCGTAGACGACATATGGTGAATAGTAAAAAAAAAGAAGGTAAAAATCATAGTTGTATTATTTGAACTTGCTTGATCGGATGGACTTAAAACTCGTGTCCTACTCTTTGAGCTGGTCTAATTCTTTTTCCTAATGGACTTTTGGTATTGACTTAGTCAAACTCGGATGATGAACCATTGAACCTATCTAACCATATTTTCATTTTCTTCTTTTTAAATAAAAAATTTAAGACAACTACTTGTAGAATTTGAATATGGTACATAAAAGATTATATTATATCATTAAATAACACATTATTGTCATGTTCTTGATTTTTTTAATCTGTTATTATCTAAAACATGATTTTAAACTATATATCACGTAGTACTTATGAAGTATTTTTATATAATAATTTTTAATTTGTTTCTCCCCTTTTTTAGTCTTCTAACTCAATTGCTTAACCCACCTTTAATTCCCTAATTACCTTCTGACCGATTTTACCTCATGTCTGGCGTGAAAATAACCATATTGAACAGTAAATAAGAAAGCAGAGAAAGAGAAAAACAGAGAGGATAGAGAAAAGAATCTACATTTCATTAAAAATCTCACCATGTTTTGCCTCATCTATCATGGGGATTCCCTATTGATATAACACCTTGACTTGCAAAAATTACAAAGTGAAACTGCCACCACCATCATCAAAGTAAAAGAGGAACTGATTCAAACCTATCAAACACCTACATATCCTTTTTGTTTTTTTTTTTCATTTTTCATTTTTCATTTTCTACAATGAGAATTACATTCATACCAGATTCAAAAGCTAGTCAGATAGCTAAAACAAGCTAGTATGATGCAATCATGACCAACATTAGCATACAAAAACATATGCTAATTGTTTCATTAGACCTTTTTTTTTTTTTTACTGTTTGCTTGGTAAATGGAAAGAGTTGGCTCAAGTTATGTAGTAGTTATATTGCAGGATGTGGATTTGGACTTATCAAGGATAGACCACATAACTTGAACATCTTCATAACCGCATGCCATAACTTCACCATGCAGATCCATTACACGGTTCTCTTGCTCTGCTGAATCATATATACAAATTAACCAATTATCAATATAACATGGATACATGATATAATTAATAATCGATGACCCACAAGAGCTTCAGATAAGACATTTATGTTGAATAAATATTATGCCATGTACACACCTGTTTGAGACTTCTTATCGTCCCTTGGTGGTTGCTGGTTAAAGAAAGTGCAAGCTTTTTTGAATGGGGATGTGATGGTCTTCTTCCAAGATGCCATACTGGGTAACTGAATTAGTATTTGATATAAGTCTTTGAATTTGGTGCTAAGTCTCTTAGCAATAACTGTATTCTCTAGGACTTATATACTATCCAGTATCCAAGAGTATGTATATGTAAGAGAATTATAATATAGTAAGTGGGAGAGGAACAAAGAGACACACACAGAGATGAGGAGAGAGAGAGAGAGGCAAGATCCGTGAGATGAGGCTATAGATGGAAGGAACATCACTCCTTTTTATTGAGTTCCCTTATCTCATCAAACAAAAGGTCGCCGACTGTGCCTAAGCACATGCTGCACGCTCCCTCACAGACCTCCTTACACGTGAATTCTTTTCTAATGGATTCTATTATTATTATTATTATTCTTGTTGTTAGGATGATAATGATTATTATTATTGTTAAAAGGGGTTAAACCCTCTTTCTTTTTTGCTATGTAAGTTAGTCTGTGGTCTTTTCGTGGAAGGTCCCCCACTGCCATTTTACTACAACTTTTTTTTTTTTTTTTTTCATTTGGTTCCTTTTTCTCTCTTAGGAAATAAATCATACACCTGGTGTACAACTCTTCATGTTCACTTGTCCATTTTTAACCTTAATAGTTCCTAGTTTCATACACCGCTAGTTTTCCTCTTGGCATGTTTCTAGGTTGTTTTTTTCTGTGGGTTTGGAACATGGGTATTGTTTATATGTTGTGTGGTGTAGGACTACAAGTGGATAAGCAAAAATTATAAGTCCTGGGTGTGCTAGTTTATCTCCTTGGGGTCAGCAATGATACAGTTATTCTATGAAGGGAGGAACCCCAATGCTGATCTGAAAATTCTGATCCCTTTGTAATGAAATAAGTTAAGTCATTGGACAAAGGATTAGTTCCCCATTTCATGGCATGTGATGCCCACATGCTTTAGTGGGGAATGTGAACATAGAAGACTGAACTCAAGGCAAACCAAAAGAAAAACCAAACCTTGTGGGGTCTCTATGAAGTAAGCATTTCATTTTCAACCCCATCTAGTACCCCTCACTTTGACGTAAAAATGCCCATATTTTAGCTTTGAAAACGTAGCCTATGGACTAATATAAATTTTCACAAATAGATATAAAAAATAAAAATTTCATACACAATGTGAACACAAGTGCAACGGTGCCGTTGATTGTAATCATGGGTTTGACATGACATTCACTTACATCCAAGGGAACCACATTACTACTTTAAAAATGCCAATTAATTAAGGGTTGAATGTCTGCTCGATGTAATGTCTTTTTAGTTTTTTACTTTATATATTATTGATAATATATAGTTATAATATAATTTTTTATTTATTTTTCACGTCAATTGATATGACTGAAAAATAAGAAAAAAGAATTTTTTTTTATTTTTTATATTATAACTATGTACTATCAATAATACATAGAGTTAAAAATTAAAAAAACACAACTAACGACAAATAATTTTTTCATTAATTAACGATATATTGTTAGCTTACCAATGCAGTTTCATTTGATTTGAAAACCTCAACACCTTCCCTTCAAAGTGTGTCTGATCATAGGTTACATCTGCATAAATCAATATCTTAACAAAGAAATTATCATTCAGAATAATATAAACACTTTGGTTATGTTGAAAGTAACCGAAACTTAAAAAAGTCAAAATATTACGTAACCATCCTTGGGTATCTAAAACCCCATAAAGAATAGAATCTCATGTCAGTGGAATATCCAAATTGGGGTTAATTCATTGTGCTATGCTTTCTTTGAAGCAAAGCTTGTACTCTTTTATGAGATGCATTTGCATTTTTAAGTACATCATATGGTATAAAGTAATTGCCATAATATGCAGAGAAACCCAATGCTACAGTGCATCCCCTTTGATCTAATTTTGCAAATGCACAAGTTATTGCAATTTAAGTACATAGACATGTTTATTCCCTTTCACATGCAATGTGACTGACACCTGAACAGCGATTATTATTGCTGCTATGATTGTTGTTTTATAAACGAAAATAATACATTTGTTTAACAATGAATTGAGATGATTGATGGGTGGTTTTCACATGTAGACAGACTGCATGTTTGGGAATTTAATGGATGGTCGGTCTTTACTTTTCCTCTTTAGAAATCTTTTATGCTATTATTATCATGTGAGTCCCATCATTTTTAAAAAAATCAAAAAAAAGAAAAAAGAATCACACGACTTTTCATGTGTCACTTGCATGAGAAAATTCTCTCAAATAACATAAAATAATTTAAACCCTATTATTATTACCACATTTATTTTATTTTCCCCTTAATTTTTAAATATCATGTATCATTATTTATGTCTATTTATGAAGAATATTGGGAGGTTCTTTGGCATATGATTAGTTATTCTGTTAAACATGATATAATTATGGGATTTTGGACTTTTTGACATCGTCAAAGGCTTTTGGACTAGAACTCAAAGCCCGAATCAATTATCTCCAAATTATATCTATGTAAAAAGATAATTATGATGAGAATTCATAAGTGTACTAGTAATTTCTCTTTGTTGTGGCCTAAATTATGGGTCATGTTTCACTTTATGACCCATTCTTAACCAATCCTAAAGTTGATAATGATTGGAGCATTGTGGGTGGCAACTGGCTAGAACGAGCCTATAACTTGGGAGGGAGGGCAGTGGTAGATGTGGACACAAACATGGCCTTGACCAACCCTGTTTGAAGAGGACGAAATAGAAGAGGGTCCAAAGAGAGGGTTGGCAAAGTGCACCATGAAGTACAATCTGGTGGAAACCAAATTGCCAACTAGAGACGAACAACGTACCACTAACAAGGACTTAGCTTGGATGCAATCATCAAATGCCAAGCTATGCATATCCATTCCATTATTTAATTCACGCCTCAACTTTTCTTGGAAAATTTATGGGTTATGTACGCAATTATGTGCATTTTTGTCTCTTAAAGCATGAGAATTTGTCCCTACATCCATCTTTTGTCCGTTTTTTTTTTTTGGAGACCTTTTTCTATTAGTTATTTAATTTAGGCTAGCTATTCATTCTTATCTTTACTCTTATGAGTACGTAATACTTTACTTCTTTTTATGAGTATATACTAAGTAAAAATGAAAATATAGCTATTTATTTTTATGAATAAATCTAAGTGGTTTGTTTATACTGTAAAACTCTATAAAAATGTACAGTTGTGATTATAAAATTTATAAGTATTATAACTTATTCTCTAGGGTTAGGTTTAACAACAATTCATTATTGAATGCGAGGGAAAAGGAAAAGGAATTGTTTTGTCCTGTAGACAGAGATGTCTAGCCTAATAGGCTAGTGAGTTACTTTTGGATCTAGGTGTTTTCTCTAAGGTAACTATGAGTTAGATACCCTTGAGTTTAGCATATCACAGTACAAAAAAGAATAAAAGACAACTTTCTCCAAAGGGGTAGTGTGTGTGCACAGTGACAACATAATAGTAATAGAGAGAGAATAATCATACATGTAGGCTCTACCTCTTATTTATAGAGTTTACCTAGGAGTATTAGGATTCTGGACCTTCTGTGCCTCTTCTAGCAGCCTCCTTTGATTATACCAGGTTTGTAATTTGATTGCCCCTTCTTGGACTTTATAATAAATAGGTCTCACATATGAGTCCATAACAGTTGCCTGGAACCTGGTTCTTAATCTTTACATAATTTCTTATGTTGGGATTCTATATGAGTCGAGTTAATTCTCAGTTTTCTGCTGTTTGCAGAATTATAGTTCCGAGATAAGAACTTCATACTTTTCACATAATGATGAAATCCTTACACGTGGTGACTTTTAATTTTTCTAGCTTGTTGTAGCTTGTTGTTGCTAGGTTGTTTCATCCATCTAATCATTACTTTTAGGGTGAATTAACACTTAAGCCCTTGTTGTTTGTTATTCATAACTCTCGTAATTACACTTTACATTTCATATTTCCCCCTTTTATTTTCTTCACTCTTCATTTGCAGTTTCTGAGAGGCTTTCTGTTTGCATTTCCTCTCATCTTCTTCAACACGAAAAGTTTGTTGTGAAGCGCTTCCAAGAGTTTTTCTCCATCCAATCGACTGAGATATCACCATTTATCCCCTGAGCGTTCCTTTTTCATTATTGTATTTTCAATATTGAAAGTGTTCATATTCTTTCATCTTCACTTGTCAGGCGTATTTATTGTTTGTTTGGGTTTTCTTCATTTGCATCTTCCTTGCTTTCTGCCCATATTGTATTGTATTCTGTAATGCTTGTTGAATTTGTGTAGCATTTTTAGTGTTTATGAGTTGGCAAGCATATAGATTTTTCCCATTTCTCTGGAAATACCAGGGAGTTCCTTTTATTTTTCCTTTGTTAGAAATGAGAAGGAAGAAATCAAAAGGATCCCTCATGGGCCTCGATATTGGTTTTGGGGGATACCCAGAATCGAAGAGGAAAATACGAAGCAATGCTTCGTGGATAACATGCTGGAAGCACTAAAAAGAGACCCAGATCAAATATTTTTAGGAACTGGTGTCGAGGTCGACTTACCATAAATACCCAAGCTTCTCTTGGTAATAGGAGCCGAGGTCAAGGTCAATCTATCCCAACCAAAAAAGTTTCCCATCATATTTCAAAACCTCGAGTCTCGTATAAGGGTGCTCAAAGTGACTCGTGTTACCCTTGTTTCATCTTGAGTTATAAACTTATAGAAAAAGGGTGACTCTTTAGCTGAGTCCACTTTGTCAAGTTCTGCTATGGAAATTTTCCAAAATCAAACTCGGCTTCTGATGATGCAAATAATTTGATTTCGATATCGGATAAAACTACAAGTCTATCAACTAGTGATTCTCTATCTAGTAGCTATTTTGATTCAGGTATGCTCATCAATTTCTTCTGACTATAATTCCTCTTATTTTAGGTATTTATGGGGTCATCTCTGTCAGAGATTATAGGAGAATCTCGCACTGCTGAGTCGGATTCTGAATGTCCGCCTACCACTTTTATATCCTAGTATCCCTAGGTAACATATGAAGTATTAAGTACTTTGTCCGAGATGAACGTGGAGGATGTAACCGAGCTCAATGTCGACAAATTAGAAAATTATGACATTGTTCCTCTAC